ATCAAAAAAAGTATTATATGAAACAATTTCACAAGATAAAAACCGCCCTCATTTGTGTAAACCGTGCAAACCACCTTCATCCGTCGATTTCATTGTTTAATCTTATGAAATTTTTTCATGAAATTGTTTTATCTTGTGAAATTGTTTCATATAATACTTTTTTTGATGAATTTGTTTTATGTATGGTTATGAAATTGTTTCATATGATATATAATGAAATTTTTATGAAACTGTTTCATGTATTTCTCTAAAGTTAAAATAATGATGATGATAATATCTATGATTAACACTCTCCACAATAAAAATGGTTAATTAACTTCTCATAATTACAAAAAAATGAACAAAATAAAAAATTATTATTGGTTGAATGAGGCTTTCACAGTTTTTACAAATTGAATGGTTTTTATTTAAACGCTCCCCTATATGACATTCATTTGAGATCCTTACAATTTTGAGATCTTTTAGATCTAAAAATATCTATTTAAATCCACAAATCATATTTAATTGTAGCTCAATATAGAAAAATTGCAATTTTGGTACCTTTGACTAAATAATTTAAATAAAGAACACAGTGGATATTTTATAAAATGTCTCTCTTCTCTCATATATCCTATATTCGTCAAATAATAGAATATCCTCGTATAACGTGCAAAATAACATACCAATATTATATATGTGTGTGCACAATATGATAATATATAACATTCATTCACACTACTTATACACTTAATTGATGTGCAAATTGAGATTTTTCTGGTTCACATTATAATATGTGACGGATCAAAAATGTGGATCCAGATATTGTGAAAAAATTAAGCCAGTGAAATAATAAATTTATTGAGGATATAATATATGATAATTTAATGTGAAATAAAATCTAATAAAAGTGGATCTAAAAATAGTAGAAAAATCATATAACATGTGATAAGAAATTATAGAATTAATTAAAACCCAAAAATAAAAATGATATAATGAGATTTTCAATAAACTCAAATATAATTTTTGTTTCCACTCTACTTTCAACAGAATGTTTAACCCTATTACAAAATATATTTCTACTTTTTAATTATAAAATTTTCTAATAAATTAATATAATTTAAATTGTTTCTTACCTTCTCGCTTAAAAAATTTAATGGCATAAAGAAATAGTTGATCAGAATACACGTTAGACCATGTACTATGGCTTGTTGTCCATTTTTAATCATATGGCAATATACCATTTGCATGAGCCGACATACTTGCATGATTTCATCAAATGGCGTAATGACATAAAATTTGTTTTCATTTGATTTTTTGCATTTGATTTAGTGTCCTAAACAAATGGAACGAACATAAATGAAAGCATATTCATGTTTATTCATTTAACTTAAATGAACAAATAAACGGAATTTATGTTTATGTTCTGTGACAACTCTGCATTTTGGAATTTCAGGTTAGTATTCATTTTAGGGTTTTTATTGAAAACTAAGTCTTTTTAGGATTTAGCCTTGTTGACCAGAGATCGTCTTGTTTAATTAGTCTGATTAGATCACGTTTCGGCGGGTAGCTAACCAAGTTAGTTCGTGCAATGCCAAATAAAWTTTTAAACATTTCACATAAAAATAAAGTCGATATTTTCGTTTCATTCTTTTTAAAATTCAAAATTCCAAAGTTCCAATATTTTATATTTGGTTGCCAATTATTATTTTGAAAGAATGGTGTTTAAATATTTTGTCAAAAATGTTTTGTTGTATTTATTGGGGTCTTTTATTTTGTAAATAAAAGTCTTTTTTGGGCTTGGGCCTTTTAGAGRTCAGCCCATTCTTTTTATTTAATCCACATATAAATACCCCTTCCCTTTTGAAAGTTTTTCACTTTTCAAATTTCCAGCCATTTCATCTCTCTCTCTCTCTCTCTCTCTCTCTCTCTCTCTAATTCCATCACTTTCCAACGGATTCCATCTTCAAGCAAAACTCAAGATTTCCGCTATTCTTGAGACTAGTTCGTAATCAAGAAAAGGTATGTTTAAAGCTATTTACTTCTCTTTTTGATGTCTGAAAGTCTTTATCTTTCTCCCTACTCGACTTTTTGGCTATATACGAGATTTAAAGAGGAGAGATTATTCATCAAAGACCCACCTGTGTCTTCGTTGGGGACGATAATCTGTGACCCAAGTTCTTTAAATCTCCAAGAAACAAAGAAAAATTCCTTGCATGTGAGGTCCAATAACATTTTCGGATGATAGGACTTGCATGCAACTCTAATCGGATTTATCCCTTTG